GGGCCCCCCGTGTCAGTGGCCACGCCCCTCCCCAGGCCCCCCCCCGCCCCCCGCGCAGCGCTGCGGCGCTCCCATTGGCCGGGCGGGCGGTGAGTGACAGGCGGGCGCGGGGCAGGCGGCGCGGCGATGGAGGCGGTGCGGGCGCAGCGGCTGCAGCCCGGGGTGGGCGCGGGGCCTCGCGGGGCCCGGCCCGGCCTCCCCGGGGCCCCCGCGCCGCCGGGGCTGGGGCCGGCAGCGGCGCCGGGGCTCGGAGCGGGGCTGGGGCTGCCGCCGCCGCCGCCCCCGCTGGGTTTGCAGGGCCCCCCCGGCGCCGGGGCCGGGGCCGGGCCGCCCGCGGTGCTGCGGGAGGCGGTGGAGGCCGTGGTGCGGAGCTTCGCCAAGCACACGCAGGGCTACGGCCGCGGTGAGCGGGACCGGGGGAAGCGGGGCGGGGGGAGATCTGCCCTTGGCCCCTTTTTCCACTTCCTCACCCCTTTTCCTTATTTCCTTGTCCCTTTTCCCTGCTTCCACGATCCATTTCCTTCATTCCTCACCCCCTTTTCCTTATTTCCATACCCTCTTCCTTCTCTCCTCGCCCGATTTCCTTCCTTCCGTGCCCCTTTTTCTTATTTCCATGTCCCTTTCCTCATTTCCATGTCCCTTTTTCTTATTTCCTTGTCCCTCTTCCTTGTCTCCATGCCCCATTTCCTTCCTTCCTCACCCCCTTTTCCTTCTCTCTGTGCCCAATTTCCTTCCTTCCATGCCCCTTTTCTGCCCTTCCTCACCCCTTTTCCTCATTTCCATGTCCCTTTTCCTCATTTCCATGTCCCTTTTCCTCATTTCCATGTCCCTTTTCCTTATTTCCATGTCCCTTTTCCCTATTTCCATGCTCCATTTCCTTCCTTCCAGGCAATTCCTTGGCTTGTGGGGTTTTTAAGGATTCACCATTCCTCCTCCATGAGCAATTAGGGTTCTTCCCTTCATCCTGACTCCACGACACAGGAGTCGTGGAGTTAAAGCCCTCTTTTTCCACAGAAAGCAGCTCCCTGGGCAATCCATGCCATTCCCAGTGGCTGCAGTTTTCTTGGGATACCCCCCACGGGCTGCATCCATGGAAAATCCATTTTCCTGGGGGTTGGGAGAGGCTGTCAGGGGGTGCTCCAAGGATTGCATCAGGCCGATCCCGACGTGCCAGAGGGGGGGTTGGATGTTCCTTTGGATTTAAAAACATAACAAAAATAAGGGAAGAGGCGACGAAAAGGGGATTTTCCTGCTGCTGGGATGGAAAGAATCCGTCATCCCGCCCCCAAGGAGCCACTTGGGGATGATTTTGGGCTCCCGCTGCCTCCGGAAGCTCCGCTGCGCTTCCAAAGGGTGAGGCCTTGGCAGGCGGCGGGATCAGCGGCTCCAGAGCCATGTGGAAGCACTTATTCCACCGGATTTCACGTGGATCTGTGCCGGCAGGATCCGGGCCGGCGCTCCAGAGGGATAAACAGGGTGGATTGACGGTCGGGAGCAGCGAATCCGAAGGGTGAGGCCAACAGGAGCTGCCCCACCTCGGATCATAAATCCATGGATCTCCTCCCCAAAGAGTCCTTCAGGGAGCAGGAGATGTCCCTGATTCTACGTGGAATCATGGAATTAGGGAATGGTTTGGGTTGGAAGGGGCCTTAAAGTTTCTTCCCCGGGCAGGGATTTCTTTGAGGGAATAATATTCCGTGGGCAAGGATTTTTTGAGGACCATCCTCTCGGATCTC